ATGCAGAAGGACTAGAAGTTTATTTTGCACTCATTCGGGTATTTAAGGGCGAAACCAAGTTGAAAACTGTTTCCAAAGAAAACTCTTCCTATCTTTCAGAGCGCTCTCGGCTGGAATCAAATCGCCGTTGCTAGTCACTGTGCCAAATCCTCGTTATCCTGAAGCAGAATTGGTGTCTGCGCTAGGTGCCCTTTTACCTCTCTACACGCCACTGAATGTTCGTGAGGAAGAGCCAAATAAGAAGTTCGAACAACTAGGATTACTACCAGTGAGTTCTTTTTCTTAGAATTTAGTTGAATTGCTAAGAGTGGCTCATCGCCTCTGTCGAACTTGAGGCTTTGTGAAAATTTGCATTTGCTAAGACAACATTTCTTTTCTGAAAGTTTCTTCAAGTAATGCGCCCAAATACTCGCATCAAGTTTACATTTTAGATCCAGTCCGACCATTTGCTAGAACTAGTAGAAGCCTTTGAAGCAGCATTCACTGTATGTCGTGATGTAGGTGAAACTGGACCAGAGCGAATGTCGCCACCCAATGTTGCTAATTATGTGAAGGTAAGCAATCAGTTTTGAGCGATTTGGCTGGTGTTTATTCCGCTTTGCTGTTGGTACTATGACAAATTTTCTTTCAGTCGGCTTTCGTTGGAGGAAATGTAAAAGTCGAAATAACTGATGACCAAAAAATTATTGAAAAGGAGTACCCGCTAATGGCTGCAGTGAATCGTTGCGCTAATACTGTGAAGGAGCATCAGGTAATTTAGCAGTAATTGTTTGTTATCGCCCTCTCATTACTAAGTTAACTTCTTCCCGCGCAGGCTCGCCTTGTTCGTCTAGAATATGTCGGGAAAGGTGACGTTAAGAACACCTATATGATGGTTGGCAAAGGTGTAACAATTGATACTGGTACGTTGTTGCGTTCTTCTGATTATGCCTGTTTGCAGGTTTGGGTTTTGAATGATATTCACTTCTCAGCGCTTTATTCTTAGCTTTTTAGGTGGTGTCGATTTGAAAGTTGGGGGACACATGTGGGGAATGTGCCGTGATAAGTATGGAAGTGCTATAGTTGCTGGATTCTTCAAAGCACTGGATATATTAAAGCCAAAGAACATCAAGGTAAACGTTTGACCTTCATGTTCTCAAAATGAATTTTTTCTTTTTTTGAAAAAGTTGGTGCAAATATTTCCATGTCCAATTGTTCCTTTATATCTCTAACTTTAAATGTTTTTTGATGGAAAAATCAGTAGAAGTCAAGCAAAAAGCTTTAGTTTTGATTAGCAATCCAAATTTTCCTCAAGGTACAAACGCGTATACCAGCATAGGGCATACTTATAATCCTGACTTTTAGGCTGTTGGATACATGTGCATGGTTCGCAACAGTATTGGCGCCAGAGCCTACACTACCGATGAAGTTATAAAAGCTCGAAGTGGAAAACGTATTCATATCTACAACACCGATGCCGAAGGACGTATCACTATGCTTGATCCCTTAACTAGGGCTAAGGAAGAGGTGGTCCTGCTTTTCAGTTACTGAGTCTCAAACTTTTTTCTCTTTAGTCTGTGATATGTAACTTCTTCGAATATCATGCTCTTTATCGGTTTCACCTTGCCCACGTAGCACATTATTGTTTAAACTGTTTGGGAGCATCTGTTTACTATATATTGCCAATTACGGCAAATTATTTTATACTTTCGCTTTGAATTAAGGCACTACATGAAGTGAATCCACATCTAATGACTCTTGCCACATTAACAGGACACGAAGTTTTAACATATGGATACTACGCCACTATGATGGACAACGGCAAGTACTTCTCTTACTGCTTTCTATCATTTGAAAAGCTATCTGCTTTATAGGCCCAGCTAAGAGGAGCGGCTGGGCTCGCAAAATCCAGGAAACCGGTGATCTCTATGGGCAGCCCATTGAGATAAGTCGACTACAGCCAGAGGTTAGTTTACTTGCAGTTGATTGCCTTT